GATTGATTTGATTGATTGATAGCCAATATCCATTCTGCCCACATATATCTTCTTGTGTTGATGGAATTACCGAAAAGTTTTCCCAAATGCTACAGCGTGGGTGCCTTCAGTGGTTTGGCTACGCACTCCGAACGCCTGAAACTCGACTTTCACGTGATGTTTGAACTCCTGCGCATTACCGTGGATGGTGTTGCAACTCGTTGACAGACTGAGGACCTGAGGTGATACGATCAAGGCGAAAAGGGAAAGATTGGGCCTCCACGGTACTTGTAACTAGGCTCACACTGCTCCGATTTTGCTGTCAATCGCTACGCGTGGGCTGCCATAAACAGAGATACATCTAAGGGATTCACTTATTCTCGTGCAGGAGTTAGTCGCTAAAAGGTAAATGTCAATGATTTATGCCAGCTCCGAAAATTTTGAAGGACTATATTGCAGGTACATTCTACAAGAGTTGACGGTGCTAGATTCTGGGGAATGTGTGGAAGGATTTGCTTTACCAGGGTGGCACTGCATCACACAACGAAAGAATAGCGCAAGGATATTTATGGATATTGAGATATTCCTCGGGAAATGAAGGCTACGGAAGCTAACAAGAATGGCTAACACGCCACTAGATTTAGATTTACGGGAACATTTACAACACAGAACTTGCTCTAGGTGGCTACAATCGTTAAAACAAATTAAGATGGATGCTACGGAATTAAATCATTGGACAAGCACACAATTCAGTTTCACCTTGACAAAGGCAAATTACGTCTAACCATGTCCAAAGCATCGTTGTATCCAAAATAATAAATGTCCATTTCTCAAGATGCTAGTTGAATTATTTAGACGAATCCTCTGCAGTAAAGGGAGAAATACAAGGGAACGTATTGGTGCTCACTCACAACGTATAATGAAAATTCTCATCTCTGCTACAAAGTTATGGTATGAAATGATAACAGTGTAGCACTAAAAAGAATAGATATTTATTCTCAAGGAAATGTAGTATGTCACCTGAGCTCAGCGAAATATACACAGTTCAGGTTAATTATTTGGAATTCAGAACTTTCCGAAAATATCATCATTGTTCCTAACCCGGTTTATAACGCAAAAAAACAATCGGGAATATTTCGAATTACTGATTATCTTTGTAAAAAAATCATGTCGTGACTTGAACGTGCACCATGCCAAACAACGATGTGGTAACGCCGAGCGAGAAACATTATCTCTTCAATCACATCGTAGTTTTATGTCATTAATATTTTATATTAGTCACAGTTACATAAACACTTGATTATTGGTATTGCTGTAACATGATCTTAATGCTCGCATAAGCTTCACAAAAATAAAATAAAACGGTTTGGTGACATTTTTTTCAAACACTTTACAAAACTCTTTATGACAGTGTCGTTGGTGACCACCATCGTAAGACAGAACTTCTCTCTATCTTACTGGCATAATTGTGGATCGATATTTACTTTTCATGAATGAATGGGAACTTTAAAAGAACGGCAATGGGTAGTTGCTGTCCGCGACGGTAGCCTGATATTTGAGATACCTCAATCAGTCTGTCGGAAGTGGCCAATCTCCTCGTTCTATCGAAAGACTTATGCTCCGACCGTGATATAACTCAATTAATGTAAACATTTACAGGATAGTGATCACTATGACCTGCTGGGACATTGCTACGTCCGATACAAAACAAAATCACAAAAGACAACAAAATATCAGAACAATCCATGAGAGTAAGCTATTGCAAAAATGAAGAACTGGAACGAACCAAATTTTCCATACACCGTCATATCACACTGAGGGCATTTAACCGTATTCACATGACGTTGCATATGGGCAATCAGAAGACNTGACATCGTGAGCATCGTACTGGTTGTACAGAAGGATGCCATCGGGCATTCTGACTCGGATGGGTAGAACGAGAGAAGAAATCATGCGCAGATGGAGGGGTATCAGCGTAAACCCATTCGCAACATTAGAGAACATCAGGGTTGGACAAAATATTCATTTGTCAGAGCCAAGGATGTGTAAACCAACTCCACATAGTCCTAAACTATTTTTAAAAGTTTCAACCACCAATAGTAACCTGTTTTTTACTTGGTGAATAGAGAGCCGCTTTGAAAGACACTGCAAACTGATGGAAAGCTGCAGTCCCTCTACCGAATCACCAATACAGGCATTCGCGTCTAGGAATTTGGTGTTAGAAAGGGTTGATCCCTCTTTACTGCTGATGCTATCCGCTTACACGATAAATTGGATGTACTAAGCACTTACAACTGTGCGTAAACAATGACAGAACGGTGCTTCTGCATATCTGTAAAACGCCTTTAGCAAGCAATGATATTATTCCTCAACAAGAACGTAAATTTCATTAGATTACTTGTGGTCCAATACCGACACCTAATTAATAGATGCCGACGATATGTATGCGGAATCTAGGGGTTTGAAAACTAATGGGCATGATGAACCACTAAAGTCAATTAGTGTGACAACGTGTTTGGAAACAATTGAGAATGATGATGCTGCGGTTGTTGCAAGTTATACGACTTATTCAACTATGGGACTTGTGAGATAACGACTTATCCCCATTTCATTCCTGAACAAACCGCTCTGTTCCGTCATTTCCTTAGATTCAACCGGATTTCCGCGCAGTTAAATAACTGGCATCCGCAGGAGTGGTCTTAAAAATAAATTAGGAACTTTCAAACCAACTGGAATTGCGGTAGTTGACAATTTTTAGTAGCGATATGTTTTTTTTAATTACACATATAAGTGTGATGAACGGCAGACGGGGCGAACCGCATAGTCACAATAATTCTGAAGACACAGTTTTAACCACTGAGATATAACAGAAGGCATGGCGAAAACGGAACACGCGAGCACTTTGTGCTGGCACATCGGGTAAGGATTCACGTGAATGAATCTTGCGGGTCATACTAGTGATGTGTACCACAAAGTGTTCAACTATAAACTGAGAAAACATCGTTAGTTATTAACAATAAGAATGAAATACAGTGACCAAACCGAATGTGGTGCAGTCACTTAAACGACTGTCATTTTAGCGAAAACCCTGGAACTCGGTGATATATATGTGATAGTAGTAAGGGTTGCACATTGATGAAAAGAGAATGGGAAAACATAGAACAAGGAGGATAAATGAAGGAATGAATGAATGAACAATTTTTTGGTAGTTTCAACGAATAAATTTTTAGAAGCTTTTTGTCGCTTATTAAGAATAGGGTTTCGACAAACAAACCGCACAACAATCGCACTACAGAATTCCATTCTGAGTTATATCTCTCAGCGTCTCTAACCATTGGCAGTCTTTATTCCTTGAGACCCCGCCTGGAAGGCCAGCTGCACTAAACGAAGCCAATGCCGAGGCTAACCTCTTCATATCTCTACGCCATGTCATGGTCTATCGATACCAAAAACACGACGAATTTCTGCATTACTCACGTGTTCCCGCCAGACACGAGCATTCTTTCGAAGGCATCGGTGGTCAAATACAGGAAGTCGATTAAGATCCGCCGCTCGAAAGGGCCAAGTTTCACAACCGAACACTACGAACCGCAGCGATGTACACCCTTCTCTTAAGGGACAGTCGGATGTTATGGCGGTGCCACAGGTGTCGCGGGTTGGAGAAAACTGTCCTACCTTTCGTTATGTGATCTTTTCTCTAACCCCAATTCCAGCTGTGATTAAGCTCCCGATGTACTTAAAGCTCCCGCCCATTTCTATCTGATCACCAGAAAGAGTAGGTGTGGTCACAGGCTCCAGTCAGTCTTGAACAAGCACTTTGTATTTTTATGGTGCAAACTACATACCACATCCGGATACCGAGATTTCCATGTGAATTAAAGCGTGTTGGACTGCGTGTGCCTTATTACCCAACAAGGCGATGTCATCGGCATATTCTACGCCTAGAACTCTGTTCAGTGGAAGGAGTTCGACTCCACCGTTTGCTAGACCGGACAAGCGTCCTGTAGAACATCCTCTATAGCAATGTTGACGAGGAATGGATGTACAGGACAGTCTTGCTGCACTCCTCTGGAGACGGCAAAGGGTGGCGGAAGCTGTCCATGGGCCCTAACCCTACCTGAGGTATGACGATACAACTCCTTGAGAACCGACACACACTTCTCAGGTACTTCATTTCTAAACAAACAGTTACATAGCGTGATCCTATCGATGGAGTTGAAGGCTGCGCAAATGTCTAAGAACACAAGGATTGTTGGTCTGTGGTAAGCATGCCGGTTCCCTAGCAACTTTCGTAAGGTGAAGACTTCATCGATGCATCCATGACCGGTGCGAAACCTAGCCTGCTCCTCGTGGGAATGCTTCTCATGCGCCTTATACAATCCACAAAGAATAACGGACGCCAAATGTTTTGACGCTACCCCTGCGTTTTGCGCCAACATTGTGCCTAATTGGGCAACGAAGAACTCCTCAGAATGGCACAAACGATCGCAGATCGCATCATGGAAAACCAACCTTTTACGTTTTACTTTTGCATCCAGCAAACCTGCCGCTTCGTCACCCGGTTCTGACTGCTGCGTTTGCCTTTCTTTGGTGAACAAACGAAACCCTTCCCAGTGGAGCATTTAAACCACTGTAGTAAAAAGCAGAAATAAGCGTTTTTACTTACTATTCGGCAACACCAGTCAGCTAGTTCCCAACAAGTCGGTGCAGTTCATCTGACGGAAGTCACTTACCTGGTCCCAACCAGGGCTACCTCGAAGCGGTAAAAAGTTCACGTGATTCGAATGGAGAAAGTCAACTCAACGCTTTCGGTCAAAGGACTCGGAACGATAAACAGTCAAAGCGACAGAAAAAAGGCGGACGAAATTTCAACACGGATGCAACATTAAAGAAAACTCAAATCAACCATCACTGCAAGGGGGTAAACGATCGATTCCGGAGAAAAAAGAACTCAGTAGTAAAAGAAAAATTGGGATGACTCACTGCAGGATTTCCATTGACCAGTTGAATTTGTTGACACTTCAAATGATTTTCAAACTTGATGAAACTAACAATTAATAGACCACATGTTGGACAAGCTATACGCTTATATTGTGTGTGCGTGACCAGATGAGATGTCAGGTTTTTCAATCGAGGAGCCACGTAAGAACAGTGTTCCCATAAACATCTGAGCTTCACTCCGGCAGGGTATCGGGAATCAGTGTACTCCTGTTTTATGGTCGAAAGATGAAAAGGGGAATCGGATCGCCGAGGAAAAAACACGTACACTTACAAGAGAATGACATACACACGGGACTAAGTTCTTTTCTGCGTTTGAAAGCCCAAAATAGCTCGTTTAAATTACCAGTATAAAAAGCGATACATTTCTGAAACATCAAAAACAAGAAAGCATGCAACACAATGGGCATGTTCGATGCATCATATAGATTACACGAATAAGAAACGCATTGTTAGACTGAACCCGATACCAAAACAGAATGCAGTTAGGCGTCACCAAACAGGTTATCACGACGTGTGATGTTTGTCTAAGCAGGTGTTCGGTGGAAAAAAAGCCAAGGGTAATCAAAATAAAACATGGTACGCGGATACGAAAACCCCAACCAGGAGACTCGGTCACATAAGTCGTGTAAGGCTCCATGGATGGGGACCTCAGAATGATCGCAAGCGGCGGTTACAGACAGTAAGTGATACGCCTGTGTCGTAAACAATGGCATTCGTGTACTTTCTCAATTTGTTTGAAACCTTAAACCACAGAAATTCTCCATTCTCTTTTCGATGCTGCTTTCAACTTTCCTGTCTTTTTCCTACTGTTCAGCCAAATAGGTAGACAGCAACCAAAATCGGTGCACGAAACTGCATGGTTATTGGCTGTACAAACTAAACTAAAACTAAGCGATCGATTACTAACACCAAAATAGCACCAGCTATACAGTAGTCAGATGAGATAAATCATCCAAGTCTCTTGACTGCGCATTGTCTTGATAGCATTCATCTACAAAGGAGATGGCCGAGTAAAGACAACGATGTAGATGACGCGTACAGAAAATCAACACAAATGGACAATTTTAGGATGAAGTATCAAACCCAAAAATCCTCCAAGAACTTTTAATTTCCGTTTAGTTTGCTCAAAAGAGGCCGTTTACATGGTACCATAGTTGTTCCAATAAAGCACAAGTTACAAGAAGAACAATAGATGGTCCACATCTGTGGATATGGATCACGCTTTGCTACGACCCAAATTCTCCTTACGCCTGGCAAACAATCGCAAAAAGGACACCCATAACGGATACCCACGATAGAGCACCAGCGATTGCTGCAAACTGACCTTTCTAAGCGGAACTCTCCGATCGCCTATCAGTTCAGTCACCAGCCGAAGGACTCAATTAACACGGGAAGCAAATCAAGGAAGCTATGCAAATATCGATAAAAACAACGTCGAACATAAACATAAACGATGTATTTCGTCGACCTCGACTGCCCTGCTGGACGCCCGCAGAACCCTCCCTCCTGATGCCACATATGACACAGCGCGCAAATCCCTTAAACGCCTGGTCATCAACAGTCTGAGGAATGACCGTAAAAGGTGGCGAGTAGAAAGATGTCAAGAGATGAGGAAAGCTGCGGCTATTAGGAATACGGGACCTAGGAAAACAGGCATAAGTGAGGTAATTAGGAATCCGATGGCACACTGATTTACCGTCAGAAACGCCGTCTTGGCCGTTGGGCTGAACATTTTCAAGGCTCAGTTCAACTAGCCCACATTGACATCCGAATTATCCTCCTCCACCTCGACTGGGCAAGTAGTCCCAGTTGATGCTAGTTCACCATCTGAAATGGAAGCTAAACGGGAAATAAGCTACCTCAAAAGGTATAAGGCCTCCGGCCGAGACGGGCTGTCCCCATCGGCTTTTAAGGATGGATAGTTTAGCCTTGGTTTTAGAGTTAACAAATCTCCTGGGCTCAATATGGAAAAGGGAACAGGTTCCAAACGAATTATCTGAATCGGTCATCTTGCCGATTTACCAGAAAGGTGACAGATCCTCTTGTGAAAACCAGAGGAATTAGTTTAATCAACATTGCTTCTAAACTTCTCGCTGGTATCATACTCCGTTGCCTATTTGCCGCACGTGAACGGTGCACGCGTGAGAATCAGGTTGGTTTTAGACCTAGTCGAGGTTGTATCGACCACATCTTCAGTTCAGTTCAGATTTACAACCGTTAACCATGCACTTTCGTGCGCGGTTTTGGTTGCTGCTTTTGGTTGCCCATTTGGATAAAAGAGCGAAATGAAGATTGGAATGTCGAAGCAAATTCAAGAGGAAGATGGGAAATACGTATAGAGTGGTGTTAGGAAAATAACGAGTGGATGCACGAGCGCCACTGTTTGCGACACCCAGCCATATCACTCAGCGCAGCTAACCATCGGTGACCATCATCCCGAGGTCCCCAGCCAGGGAGCCTAACGGGACCCATGTGACCTAGTCTCCCGGTTAGGGTTTTCATACCCTCATGCCAG